GGTAATATTTTTTTCAAAAACTCTACTGCTGATAATAATTTTTCCCAAAAAGTGTTGCTGGTATGAAAACCTATTTTTATATTTTCATAGTGTTTTGACTCCTTTTGTGGGGATAACTATTTGCCTATAGCTGAGATTCTGGCAGGTGCTACTACCCCAGGTCAGGGTAGACCCGGGAACACCAGCACTTAAGAGGTGTTTTCAAGCTCCTCAAAACCTCCTGATCAGAGACCTTGCTGCCAAATATAGTTTATCGTCTTACCCAGGACACTGGTATTTGGGACTGTCTGTGCAAGGACTTCCTTGCTATTTGCTGTAAGGTCAAAACAATGGTAGGCAATAGCTTGGTTGTTCATTGACTGTTGGAGTTCATTTGAATGACAGACGGTAGCGTTGTCATCAGCATACTGAATATTTGTGATATGATGGGTGTGAGGCTGAAACGTTCTCCATCCTATCGATATCCCTTGTCAATCGCTGGGTTGGGTGAAGAAAATTTGTGAAGTATTGCAGCCAGATACAAGAGTAGGTGCCAAGTCGTATCTATGATTTTGTTCTCACGTAACTGGAAATACTTCTGACAACGTATTTTGTTGGAATACACCTCTAGACTTTTTGTCAAGCGTTGCTTGAACCAGACAGATAAAGTAGTTGCGACATCCAAAACGATGAATAACATCATAAGACGCTATCAAAAGCCTTTTTTTAAGTCATAGAAAACTAGGGAAATGTGTTTTTGTTGTTCCTTGCTTTTCTCTTAGAGTTGCCTTGCGCAGAACATATTGTCGATTGCAGCATGGCCCGGCGTTGTCCGGGCTTGATTCAAAAATCGTACAACTCATACAGCAATCACTATCACTTGACTTAAAATATTTTTGCCCTTCCTTGCCTTTAAACGAGTGCCTGTTGCCGTGCTGATGTTGCTACATGCCTTACTTCTTGCCTATCTCACACTGCGAATTTTTTCTAAGCTCTATGCTAAACATTAAATCTGTTACGAAAAAAGAACTAAACAAAATGAACACAAAACGATCAGCTTTAAAAAAGGACTCGTAACTAGAAAAACCGAATGAAAAAAGAATGTTAACAACAAATACTTTTTCACACACAACCCAGTTCTGCGGAATCAGAATCAACATTGAGTTTAAGCAAACGAATGAGCCAATTGGAATAAAGTGCCATGTAGATTTAAATTTTTGACACTTGTGACGAATGCAGCTATCGATTTCTTTTGCATGCTAGTTAACATTCGTGTCAGTCAGCTGTTGGCTCTCACGCTGGCCAATAAAATCTTCCTGCCTATTTGTGGCAGCCAGCTATAGACTCTCACTCTGGCCAGTAGAAAATGGCCGCAAACTACATGAAAACTGCCGTAGAAGCATGGAAAAATCGATTATTTCCACTATCGATGGGAGTTGGGAAATGCAAAGTCAGTCTTGGCCTTTCCGCTAACTTAGAGTATGTGCATGTAAATTTTAATGCAAATCCGTCGAAAATTGCGGCCGTGCATTCGTTACACACACACACACACACACACACATCCTGCCTTTTATAGATAGAGATTGCGCCACGATAGACACAGGATCCACATTGGAATTCTGGTAGGATACTTTTGGCGTTGATCTGGAAGCAATTTAGAAGGATCTTGGAAAAAAACTTTCCCAGTGATGAAAATAAGTGTATTCCTCTATAGTGCCCAAAGGCTTTTCACACAACTTTTTTGAGGATCGTTATGGTGACCTCTTTCAGTTCTTTCGAATCTTGTTGGGATTCACACATCTTCAAATTGAAGGTGAAAATCCATGTTTAATCAGTTCGAAAAGGATTGCCTCTAAACTTAAAGACTTCCTTGACTATTCATAGTTTGCTTAACTTATTGAAAAGTAGGCCTCATATTCATCCACGGCTGAAGAGGAGGATTTGGAACGTTTCTATGCTGTATTCGAGTTATTTAGGACGGTAGAAAAACGCTTCTTCCAGTTTAGAAATATGACTTGTTGATCGTTCAGGATATGAGTGTGTGTGTGTTATCAGCTACTAGAAAAGGATCCGGTTGATCTGGTTCAAATCGTTGTTTCTGTTGATCTGGTCCGCTTGATCTGAATCAAATAGTTGTTTCTGTTGATCTAGCCCCCTTGATCTGATTCAAATAGTTGTTTCTGTTGATCTAGCCCGCTTGATCTGGTTCAAATAGTTGTTTCTGATGATCTAGCCCGCTTGATCTGGTTCAAATCGTTATTTCTGATGATCTGGTCCGCTTGATCTGGTTCAAATAGTTGTTTCTGTTGATCTTGCCCGCTTGATCTGGTTCAAATAGTGGTTTCTGTTGATCTAGCCCCCTTGATCTGATTCAAATAGTTGTTTCTGATGATCTAGCCCGCTTGATCTGATTCAAATAGTTGTTTCTGTTGATCTATCCCGCTTGATCTGGTTCAAATAGCTGTTTCTGTTGATCTAGCCCGCTTGATCTGGTTCAAATAGTGGTTTCTGTTGATCTGGTCCACTTGATCTGGTTCAAATAGTTGTTTCGTTCCAGCATAGAAATTTCTGAGATCACGTGCGTTTACATAGACCTTAAGTTCGACTGATTTTTGCTGCCTGTCAAATATTCTGCAGTTCTCTTAGTTTTGTTTGACAATGTTGTTTTAGCTTATTGTAATGCTTTTTTTTTTGCTTCGATCAGGTTGTTGATTTCAATATTGTCTTCATCAGACCAATTCTGATTCTTGGTGAAGTCTATAACAGATTTTGCTGCTTCAGTGAATATATCAGGAATGGTTATCCATTCTCCATCAACAGATTGTTTGTTGACTAGAGTGGAACTACGTTTCTGACATTTTTTTGCAATCTCAGGCTTCTACAGAGTTTTGGGATCAGATGTTTTCTATAAGATGGTGGTTGATATTGCATTTTTTTAGCAATGGTGATTCATATGCATGTGATGACAAAGCGATGATCTGTTCTTTAGTCATCGGTATTAAGTTCAACTTTGGCGATCAGGGGGGACTCTTTTGTCTTGTGACCGTATGATGTCATAGTCTATCAGATGCAAATGCTTGGATTGGGGATACTTCTATCTGGTCTTGAAACGAGTTGTAAGTCGGAATTGTGCATTGGTGATGAATAAATTGTGTCCCATTCATAGACCTAGTAGTCGATCTCCATTGGAGTTGCAATTGCCGATGTCTTATTTACTGATGATATTTTCCCATAAACGATGATCCTTTCCTGTCCTTGCATTGGAGTCTTCTAGTAACAAAAATGTGCCCATCCCTGATATGTTGATAATGGTGCTACGTAGTTGTTGGTGAATTTGATTCATTGCTTCTTCATCGGCATCAAGTGCTGGAACATAAACAGAAACGATATTTATGTAATTAACTTTAGGAAATGGTAAACGAAGAGTAATATATCGTTTATCATGGCAGTCGTTGTTAAGTGATGGTCTCGTATGATGCATGTTTTAATAACAAAACCGACTACTTGGATACGTCACTCCCTGTACTATAATAATTCTACAATAAACAGTATTATAATGATACTACGATAAACAGTACTATAATAGTTCTACAATAAACAGTACTATAATGATACTACGATAAACAGTACTATAATAATTCTACAATAAACAGGACTATAATGATACTACGGTAAACAGTACTATAATAATTCTACAATAAACAGTATTATAATGATACTACGGTAAACAGTACTATAATAATTCTACAATAAACAGTACTATAATGATACTACGATAAACAGTACTATAATAATTCTACAATAAACAGTACTATAATGATACTACGATAAACAGTACTATAATAATTCTACAATAAACAGTACAATAATGACACTACTATAAACAGTACTATAATAATTCTACAATAAACAGTACTATAATGACACTACTATAAACAGTACTATAATAATTCTACAATAAACAGTACTATAATGATACTACGGTAAACAGTACTATAATAATTCTACAATAAACAGTATTATAATGATACTACAATAAACAGTACTATAATAATTCTACAATAAACAGTACTATAATGACACTACTATAAACAGTACTATAATAATTCTACAATAAACAGTACTATAATGATACTACGGTAAACAGTACTATAATAATTCTACAATAAACAGTATTATAATGATACTACGATAAAGAGTACTATAATAATTCTACAATAAACAGTACTATAATGACACTACTATAAACAGTACTATAATAATTCTACAATAAACAGTACTATAATGACACTACTATAAACAGTACAATAATAATTCTACAATAAACAGTACTATAATGACACTACGATAAACAGTACTATAATAATTCTACAATAAACAGTACTATAATGATACTACGGTAAACAGTACTATAATAATTCTACAATAAACAGTACTATAATGATACTACGATAAACAGTACTATAATAATTCTACAATAAACAGTACTATAATGATACTACGATAAACAGTACTATAATGATACTACGATAAACAGTACTATAATAATTCTACAATAAACAGTACTATAAAGATACTACGATAAACAGTACTATAATGATACTAAGATAAACAGTACTATAATAATTCTACAATAAACAGTACTATAATAATACTAAAATAAACAGTACTCTAATGATACTATAATAAACAGGCCAGCCTAGATACGAATTCTAGACCGCACATCTCCATAGTCATTGGACTATTACAAACAAACTGCTAAGGTGAAGGTTCATAATTGTCTTCTCAATACAATTTACATAAAACGAAAATGTAAGGCAAGTTAAGATATAAAATATCCAAAACACTGAGCTTCTTGCAACCACGGTCTCTGCCAAGGTGTATTCGTCAGGCAGCAAGTCATTGTTTCGTCTCAAAAGACCTAATTATAATTGCATTTGCAGCGATTATCCAAATTATGATTCTGGATAGGAGAACTTATACAAACATTTTTTTTCTTCCCCACTCCATTCTGACTCTAGTTCTTTTTTCTTTCCACCTCTTTTCCGCCTCCTTCTTCCGCTTTCGGTTCAAGTACATAGGTATTTCGAGACGATACTATGACATGCGGCCTGACGAATCCATTTCGGCAGAAACCGTGTTTGCAATGACAGTGCTTCGGATATTATATATATATATATATATATATATATATATATATATATATATATATATATATATATATTTTTATTAAAATATTTTATTGGAAACGAAAATTAATTTAAATAAAATACAGTTAAATTCGTAAAAGAAATATTCAACACTGTGTGTGTATATATAAGTGTGTGTGTGTGTCCTTGGGTGGCGTATTATATTAATTAATTATAATTAATACATATTAAGTATATAGTCAGAAGCCCTTTAATTATGCATGTTTCATTTAAAACGACTGTCACGGTACTACGATTGAGATTTTTATTTAATTTTTCTTGCGTTCCAATATAATTATTTCCTTTTTTGGACACAGATTGTGTAGAAACGGTCTAAATGTTCTATAATTTCGAGCACTTCCGGCTAAACTTTTAGCCATTATCAAGGATGATTTTATTTTTTCAATTTAATTGGGTGTGTGCGTTGTGTGTATGTTTTTAGTGTTATAGAGATGCTTTATTTTCCGAACACAGTTAGTACATTGTGGCCGTGTTCGTAGTTAATATTATTAAGCGTTGTCTTTTTCTTTTTCATTATTAAGGCTTCCATTATTTTTAATAATTTTTGCACGTGGATGTTGTTATTATGTTTGTATTTTCTACTAGTATGTTTTGGATCGATTCTGATAAGTTTTGGTGTGTTTAAATGGGTTCTAATAGAGCTGTGTTCAGATAGGTGTAACATAAGGCGTCTGGATAGGCATGTAGTATATATATATATATATATATATATCGAAGATAAGCAAAACACTTCTATCAAATTATATATGTGTGTGTGTGTGTGCGTTTATAACTCGACGATAAGCAAAACACTTCTGTCAAATTATATCAGAATTTTTTATGGAAGCTATTCGGCCGTGTTGAGTGATCGTCGATGAAAATATCCTTGATGTTTGATTATTTGAGTAGATTAGGTGAATCAGACGTGTCTATAAATTTCTTCGTTTACCTCGGATGCATACATGATGATAGCTACAACTCGATTTCGTATGATGCCATCGCTTGATTTATTTCCTATATGGACAAAGCGGATGTTTGTTTATTTTATTTTTAGACCTGCTTGGGTCTTGCATTATCTTGAGCACATGTGGCAACGGTGTGTGCCACTTGCAGTAGATGTTAGATTTATATTATGTAGAAGTGTCAATGTGTTATGCCTTTGATGTTTTTCTTTCTTAGGTCTGCGATACTTAAACAGACGCGACCACATTCATTACAGTTTACATAAAATTACGTGTCAATATTTTCAGGTAAATTACCATCAACGCCTTTATGAACGTCTCTCTTGATTTTTTTTTATGTTCAAAAAGATTCTGTTCAAAGGCATTGCTTTCTTCCAGGAGAAACGATCTAATTTTCACGTTCATTGCCTGTCGTTTGTTCTTGTTTTTTGGTAAAATGCTGTCGAAGTCCAGAGACTGTGATTGACTCTGTATAAAGCTTTTCTAAACATTGTCGGAGTTAACTCCTCCTCAGCTCTTTAACACTTCACCAGGGGTCTCTCTCCCCTGGCTATAAATACTGGCTGACCCTTCGCTTCTATCTCTTTTTTTTCCTCAGGCCTTCGGCCTTATACCACCTCGCAGATGTGAGCTCTCACAGATAGAGCGTTTCCCAAATGCTGGGAACACTCTAAGAACAATACACGTACGTACGAACACTCACCACAACACACACACATATAATATTCACCACACACACTCTGTCCATGTAACTGTCCATGTAACTTGTAACTTGTACTTGTTGGTAATACATATATTTGTTTATATATATTTATCGGTATTGTTTGTTTTCTTTGGACTTAATTAAAGTCCAACTTTCTCATGTAGTTGGATCGGCTAGCATGAAATTCTACCCACATGGGTTCATCTACATACACATCACTGCCACGGTCCGCTACAACATGAAAAATGCTTCATATCGCATGATTTCTTTTAGAATGATAGCTGTCGATTCGTTAACCGCGTGCAACGATTGCTGACATGTTGTTTTTTTCAGGTTTTGGTTCCCATTAGAAAGACAATGACTCTTCAAGTCAGCAGGTGACTTGCAATGCTTAAAATGCGGAAAACGAATTTGTTCTACATATGTTATGACCTGCTTTGTAAATTCTGTTTAGGTTGCTAGTGAATCTTCCCGGGTGAGCCCGGAACACTTTGGGAATCACACTGCATGTTAAGTTATTTTTAACATAATCGCCGACTACTCGTTTTCAGTGCACACTCGTCTAGTCGGTCGGCTAGCTGATCTCAGGCTCACTTGGGATTTATACTTCAACTGTGCTAAGCTTATTGTCTACTGGGAAAGAGCTCATAATCTGGCATGATCAGCAGTTTGAACAACTCTAGTACGCCTCCCCACGCCGATACCGTCCTTGATCATCCTAACAGATCTACCATGATGAGATTCGAAACAGGCTCATGATCGGAAAACGACCGGTCGAAACAGTCACTACATGCTAACACACACACACACACACACACACACACACACACACACACACACACACACGCACGCAAACACACACACCCAAACACACACACACACACACACACATATATATATATATATATATATATATATATATATATATATATGTGTGTGAAAATATATAGAAAATAGAAAGGGAACTGGTTAGGTAAATAATCCAAAGTTCCTTAGTATTTTAGTTATTATTTTAAAAATAGTGCTCGATAAAAAGTAGAGCATAAATATAATCATTTATTTAAAATATGATTCAACTCGACATACATAAGTCTCATGTTCATTGAAACATGACACTTCTTATGTCGCGAGTTGGAATCATTTTTAAATAAATAATTATATATATATATATATATATATATATATATATATATATATATATATAATTCAATATGTGAGAGCGGCGCTATATTGAGTCTGATTTGCTACTTAAGTCACCCATGTTTAAAATTATAAATTATTAGAAACAAAGCGTTTGGAACAGCTGGTACGACGTTTTCCATGATAACCTGTCAGGGTTTCAATTCTCGGTAGTGGATGTGCACTGATGATGAGTCCCAAATATAAGACGAAACGGCTGTCCAGTGCTTTCTGCATTCTGTCGAGGTTTCTATCAGACTCGATGAATGACTTAATTATAATTATCAAATCCTCCTAATTATTTCTATCATTTGTATATCATTGCTTGAACCGGCTTCTAATGCTCAAGTTTGAGCGGCTTGGTGATATTTGTCGCGGGTCCTGGGGGCACAGTCCTATGGTTATAGAGAAACTCATTTGAGCTCCACCACGGAATATGTCACCGAGCAGCGCTATATTGAGTCTGATTTGCTACCTCTACGTCACCGAGGTCCGTTGGTATGACGTTTGCATGATAACTTAACTGTCCCGGTTTCGATTCTCGGTAGTGAATGCGCACTGATGATGAGTCCCAAATATAGGACGAAACGGCCGTCCAGTGCTTTCTGCATTCTATTGAGACTCCTTTCAGACTGGATGAATTATTTAATTATAATTATCAAATCCTCCTAAGATGTCCTCCTCACAAATATAAATTTATATATATGTGTGTGTGTGTATGATAAAACAAAGAATTAGGAAACGTTTGTAAATTTACCATGTTTCACTTCATAAAGAAAATGGAATTTATATTTTTGATGAAGGTTAAGTAGAATTGAACCATGTTTAAAATTATAAATTGTGTGAAACAAAGCGGGAAATGTTTCGTCTCCAAGCACTTGATCTCAATAGATTTGTTTGCTGACGTCTTAAGGCACGAAACGCGTGACACAAAAACTTTTTACACTTTGTCATAAATCTTTCGTCCAATACTACTCTTGCTATATGTAAAATTATATATCGATTTCCCATTTATATATATATATATATATGTGTGTGTGTGTGTGTGTGTGTGTGTGTGTGTGTGTGTGTTGTATTTTTTCTTGAAAAATGAAAATAACAAGAAAGCAATGTGATATTTACGAGTCATTCTTTTTAAAATTCAACGTTATTCAGCTGCGGGTGATAAAAAAAGCAATGCGATTATTGCAAAAGAATAATTTTGGGACAAAAGACTGACTGCAAACGAGTTTCATACATAATTATTAGCTTTCAATTTTATTTATAGTATAACTGTATTTACTGTCATTATCTCTTATGAACGTTTTGACCCCAGAAAGACGACATGTTTTTTTTGAAACATTTCAAACCAAGGAAGCTGAGGAAAGCCACTAAAACACAAGGGGTCACATGTGGCGCTGGATGAATCTGAGAAAATGCCACCAGGGTGTTAGGTCAATATACAAAGAAGCAAAAGATGATGATTGGCTTTGTAATTAAATTTCTGAATATTGTAGATAGCAAATAAAAGAAGCTGCAATAGCGTTCCTGATGCGAGAACGTCCTCAAATCAAGTGATATCAAATAACCTAACAACTATAATGAACTGACCACAATTTTATTACTGCTGTCCTGTGTTGAGTTTAGTTTCAATGCTTCTGTCATTGAACATTCAAGCGATTTAGGCCTATGAATAAATGTACAAGTGTCACCAAAGTACGATGTACTAAGTCGCACAATATATAACAAACTCATAGTAAGAAAAGGATGTGTAGACTAACAGAATTAATATTTATTAAATTTAGTTCAGTAGCTTAAAATGTCACACTTTCAAAGTGACAGTCGCGCAGGTTGTTACTGCATAAGTAATTCTCTACAGGGCTTGCATGATATGCAATACACTTTAAGGAGCGAACGACAGCCATAGTTTTATTAAGCAATCTATCTATCAATCAATCTATCTATCTATCTGTATATATATATATATATATATATATATATATATATATATATATATATATATATATATATCTTATTGAGTCTATCTATCTATCTATCTATCTATCTATCTATCTATTTTCTTTTCTATCTATCTATCTATCTATCTATCTATCTATCTATCTATTTTCCTTTCTTTCATTTGTTTGATTCTTTCTTTCTTTTCTTGTTTGTTTTATTCATTTTGTTCCTCTACTGACACACTCTATCTGAAAATAATTTACGCGTACCCAAACTCGCACGATCGAACACACACACACACACATATATATATATATATATATATATATATATATATACTGCTCATTTATGCATACTTTTAAAAGTTCTAATCCACTAAAGACAATAATATTTTAGCTTAGTTTCTCAATTCCAACCTTGTTCACGTTCAGTAGTTTCTCACAAAATATGTTTGTTTATTTTCTTCGTTCCCGAAATCCGTCAGCTCTTTACAAAACTTTTTTAAAAGGAAAAGAATATGTTGGCATGCCGACAGTTCGAAATAATAAATAATTTCACTCCTTTCAGTTTAATAAAAGCATTCACTTGCTTCAGTTCTGATTTATATCTTCCTCGTCAATGTAAAGAAAATATGATGTCGAAAAACAACCGCTGTCGAATTACTTATGTTTTATTAAATTTCTTTTCATCCTTCTGATGTCTTCGAAACCTCATAGAATAAATTCGTAAATGTTTTTGTGCACAACTAAAAAAATACTACTATGTTATTCAATGTTTCCATTCAGTCTTAGGTCTTCATCTTTGTTGTTATTTTTACAGTGATAATAACGACAAAGATGATGACAGTAGTTCAGATATACTAATGTAAACAAAACTAAAATATTGTGATAATAAAAGCAAAGATGAGGACATTAGTCCAAGTTTAATAATGTAAACAAAACTAAAATGCTGTTATAGTAACAACAAACATGAACATGAGTGTACATTATTTTATTTATTAAAGACATTTTATCTTTTACATTTTTTATCTCAGATATCAAGTGTAGTATCACCAATGCAACTCTCTGCTTGCAGTATTTAAGTAAATGCTTGTTTATAATAAACAGTGGATTTTTTTGGCTGGGCCTACAGGCTCGGAAATAAAAGGCCTTGTTTTAATTGATAAATACCATCTATAAAAGAATACCCGTCGGCCCGGTGGCTAGGATCAAAGTTTTCAGCTGCCGAGAAAATATTCGTCGATATATATATATATATATATTTTTTATATATATTTTCTATGAAAATTTATAGACGAATATTTTCTATGAAAATTTCTTGGACATTTAGATGGGGTTTTTATTTTTGGGCTTAATACAGACATACCCACAGAGGCATTTACATTCAATTCCTGTGGGTGAATTGATAAATATCTATAAAAAAGAACGTTCAACATAAAAATTTCTTTAATAAATAAATTGTCGGACTTTGGCCATTTCTTAATATATTTCATTATTTTATGTTTACATTAAGTTATGTTTTACATCATTTTATGTTTTACATTATTTTATGTTTATATTATGTTATGTTTTGTTTACATTAGTATATTTGGGTTAATCCAAATATAATAATGTTAACAAAACTAACTCTTTACTATAGTAATTCAGACAACGAAAACCTTATGATAATAATGGCAACGATGAGGACAGTAGTTCAAATATATATGTAAATATAGATAACACTTCATCCTAGTAATTCCGACAGCCAAAATGAAGACATTAGTTAGAACGTAAATAATATAATTCATCCTGTAAATTTCAACAGAAATTACTAGTTTCTTAATATATATGTTAATATATAAATGAAGTAAAACAAAGTAAAAACAAAATCGTAGTTCTTCAAAACCATGACTTATATAAAAATAGTTGTAAGAGAGAAAATGAATACTTTTGCAAGCCTTCTGTCATTCATCCGTGTTTTTCTGTACAGGTGTTTAATATATATACACTTCTGTAAAGGAGTTTATTTTGGTGTGAAGTCCCACCTGAAATAATAAAATATTCAAAAGCCTCTGCCTGCGTTGACTGTCTCTGTTACTTCCGGTCATGGTCCGAATTCAACGTAACCTTTTATGACCTCTATTCAGTCCAAGTTCTTAATTGGATAGAATTTGACTTGGAGCTAATTTTGTCAATGTAGCATAATTGATTTAAGACAATCAATAAGGCATTTAATGACACTGAGAAGTAATTAATAAGTAGTCCATAAAGAGCCCGCCATGCTTCAGTAGAGACACTTGGCATAAGTTTTGGAGAAGAAGAAAAGGGTGTTGAAGATCACAGATTTTGGAGGAGAGATATTTATAACGGGACTTCACCATTTAATTTTCTATGGCTCTGGGACATCCGGCCTTTTAGTACACAGTAGACAATACGCTATTAAATATATTCATGGCATAGCATGAAAGGTTATCCACCTATATAAGTGAAGGAATGGTTTGTTAATTTTAACTTTTTTCGAGCACTCCGTATTACTGGCTCTCATATTAATACAATATTGAATACAACGGCTGAAACGTCGTGAATATGCCAATAAGGATGAGGACAACAACCGAACAATGTAAATAATTACAATACCTTATCTCAGAAATATAGCCAGATCTTGAAGAAGGACGGGGCGTACAACGGCCGAAACGTCGTGAATATTTTTTTTTAAAGCATTTCACTCCAATCCAGGTGGGAAGCCACTAGGACGCAAGGGGTTGCAGAAAATATAGAGCGAGATCAGATAGGAGTGATAGAAGAGGGTATGAGGAGAAGGGTAGTGGATAGATCAAGGCAACTGGAGATGTCGATTGACATTACACTTGAATAGCTGGAGATTATAGCTCTCAGGGAAACTGGAATAGGGAAGGGAGTTCCACAGGCGAGAGGTGCGAGACATGAAGCTATTAGAGTAGAAGAGACGGCTATATTTAGGAGTTTCGACAGTGAAGGGGTGAGAGCGGGATGCCAGCCTCGTAGGGCGCTTGAACTCATGAAGCCTGGGAACCAGCGAATGCAGCTCCTCGGAGCAATTACCATGAAAGTATTTGTAGAACAGAGAGAGGCGACGGCGCGTCTGTGAGAAAGTGACTGTAGACGAGATGCCAGAGCAGGGTCAGTTATATTGCATATCCGCCTCTGGAGCCTATCAAGAACCCCGAGGCAAACAGAAGGGGCTCCAGACCATATATGGCAGCAATACCTCCATGCAAGGGAGAATTTTTGATTTGTAGATCTGGAGGATCGATTCCGGGGAGAAAAATTTCCTGGCGCGGAACAGGGAGCCAACTTTCCTTGCGGTGGACGAGGCAATTGACTCAATATATTTCTTCCATCTCAGGTCAGCAGCCAACATGAGACAGAGCAGCCGCAGAGAGTTGCTCTCGAGAAGTTAACGCGTCCCAGTCAGCTCGTTGATAGTAGAACGAAGTTCTAGTGGTAGGAGGTTCTTTATAGGGGGTGGAGTTGAAGGAGATGTTAACAGATACTACCGCATGATCAGAGTTACCAAGAGGGCAGAGTTGCGAGGCGCTGCAAGACTGGGAGATGGAGGTAAAACACAGATCGAGAAGAGAGGCTCTACCTTTCCGGTTGAAGGCAAAACGAGTGAGGAAGTTAACTATCTGCGTGAGGGATTGAGAGACTGAAAAATTGAGCGTTTGAATGCCTGCGTGGTCAGTAGTAGCATTCTTAAGCCACAAGGTATGAAGGGCGTTAATGTCTCCAAACAGAAATATGTGAGCAAACGGGTGGAGGGAGAGGGCCTTGTCTATGTTGTCAGAAATGCTATCGAGTATCGCACAGACTTGAGAGGATGGAGAGCGGTAAAGGAAGAAGAGATAACTTACCGCATTGAGGAGAGATAGTCGGAGACACATGTACGACTGGTCTGGCGATTCGAGAGAGAACTCTCTGGCCAGAGGGAGATGTTCCTTGACGTAGACACCAAGGCCATGCATGTGGGTTAGAGAGTCTTTTCTGAGGAGAGGAAGGTAGCCTGGGATCGAGAGATCAGAGGAGGGGATAGACGAGACAAGGTTGGTCTCACAGAGAGCCAGTATATCCGGGCAGTTTGCAGTGAGGAAAGATTGCATACTGCAGAAGTTTGTTCTAATGCCACGGGTGTTGGAGAACGACATGTTGAGGGGTTTATGTGGTTTTTTGAGGGGCTGGTTTAGGATTGATTTTTGTTTTTGTAAGTCATGTTGAATTTTGGTTGGTAGTTGAGAAGGCCCGAAGTAAAAGAAGCAGATAGTTTTGACCATGACGTGGGCAGAGAGCAGTTGGCACAAGCTGCATCATAATGTGGCCTCAGGGTTGCCCACCGGAGGTGACTGCAGGGAAACCTTTCCATGCGCGACATGGCACTACAAACACCCCGGTATTATACAACTGTTGATCAGAGCGGCCGCTCAAGACGCTACGCAAGAGTTAGGGCTCCTAACTACCAGTCGGAAACAGCAACCAGAGAACTGTCAACCGTGTAACCTCAGAATGAAGAGGTGATGACACAGACTGCACATATCACGGAAGAAACAGAGCTGCACTAATACAGAGGCCAGAGAGAGAGAGAGAGAGAGAGAGTACCGGGAACCCCTTCCTAAACAAGAAACAAGGCGTAAGCCTCTACTCATGTCCAAGAGAAGCGGGAGGAGTGTTGACTACCTACTCCTATTACATATAACACATACAAGGGGTGGGGGTTAAGTTTTAAGTTTTAAATTAGTATAAGTCCCATTGTCAATTCTAAAAAGGAATTGAAGAAAATAAGGTTATCCGGATTTATTGTATCTAGCCAAAGACATTCGATTTTTCATTCTTTCTGATTTTTCTTCCGAACCGGGATTAAAACCATCAAATAAGTTAGAATGATTGGGACAAAATATGTTACTATGGTCGAACACACTGACGAGTAGGGGGAGAGAAAAATAAATAAATAAAATTAAAGAAAAAAAAAATAAAGAATTAAAAAATTAGAAAAATCAAAATGAGTTTTCGGTAGAGCGAAATTATACTCACACAGGGCAGCAATGTAAATAAAGATGAGGACAATATCCGAGCAATGTAAATAATTACAATACCTTATCTCAGAAATATAGACAGATCCTGAAGAAGGACGGGGCGTACAACGACCGAAACGTCGTGAATATGCCAATACATATGAGGACAACATCCGAACAATGTAAATAATTACAATAACTTATCTCAGAAATATAGACAGTTCCTGAAGAAGTCCGGAGCATACAACGGCCGAAGCGAGAATTTGACAAAAATATGAGGACGACAACGGAAAAATGTAAATATTTACAATGTCTCATCGCAGAAATATAAACAGATAAAGGAGAATTTGCAATGTTATTTTTTAAGACCTGATATTTCGGCTTTTGCGACTTTCTCACCGTCGTAATGTAGTTTCCCTCTCCCTCCAAATAAAACGGTTAATCGTATGAGAAAACCCTTTCACCGGTATGGCTAATGCTAACCTCCATAAGGGTGACTCGTTTCGGGCTAAAGTTTTCCGATGACATGAAGTGAAATTATATTGAATCAACTACTTGTAAAATCTCTTTGTCGTGCCTGACAATTTTTCTCGCCCGTATCTATCTTACATATTTACGATTCTATCATTCCTTCATGCATATGATATCTTTGTCACATATCTTCTGAGGCTCCTGCATTATATCTTTAAATTTTGATAAAATACAAAGAAGAATCTATTTACATTGTTTAGGCTGTAGTCCTCATTTTTATTACCATATTCACGACGTTTCGGCGCTTGTACGCCCAGGCGTCCTTCAGGTTATTGGAATTACGAACTGTACGCTTTATTTTTTTCCACCGGGGAAGATTATTCTAGTTCACACGTGCTTTTTCCATACCGGATGTCTCAGTTAACTCCCTTTAACTGAAATCTCCATGTTTTTTTTTGTTCACCACTGCAGTAGCCAGGTATTAGACTCACAACTTTTTGGGTTAAGTTACTGGATCCAACGACTGGTCTTTGAGGACATCAGTTTATGAATTTTGGGGACTTATAAAATTAATCTCTCAGTAACCATTTTACCAGAGCTCATATTGTAATTTTGTCGTTATTATTTCTTTTTTCTAGCGTTCCGTATCACTGGCACCGATATTAATACAATATTGAATACAACGGTCGAAACGTCGTGAATATGCCAATAAAGATGAAGAAAATAACTGAACAATGTAAATAATTACAATACCTTATCTCGGAAATAAGACAGATCCTTAAGAAAGTCACAGCGTACAACCGCCGAAGTGAGAATATGACAATAAATATGACAACAACGGAAGAATGTAAATACTTACAATAGCTCATCGCAGAAATATAAACAGATAAAGGAGAATTTGCAATGTTATTGTTCAAGATCTGGCATCTCGGCTTTAGCCACTTTCTCACCGTCGTAATGTAGCTTCCATCTGCATTTTCTATAAATACTCTCAATGTAATTGTTCTGATGAACTTTGCTCTGGAGAAATTGCGCATATGGGAACTATTTAGGAGTTCATAGTGACTTTGACCATTATAGTGACAGTAGTAGAATAATAAATAGAAGTGTGTTGTTTTTGTGTAAGGAATACTGTAGTATGTTTAGGTCAGTAATTGTGACTAAATAATTTTAAGATAAGATACTTTCAACCCCCGCTTTTTGGCCTTGTGCCATATTTTTGTATTATCAAATTAAATATTACTTTCCTCTAGACTCTATGAATTTAAGCGCAGTACTAGTTTGCTGGAAAGATCTCATCATTTATAGTTGAAATGACTAGAATTAATCGTAAGTTCTATGCTAACAGTTTCTTTTCTTGCACTTCTTCCCTGAGGAACTTTCTTTCGGCTTCTTGCTTTCAGGTCAAGTTTGATCTTCAAAAAATTTAAATGCCATGTTATTCGCTGTCTTACGTGTTGGAGGTGATAAAAATTAAAATTAAAAATCATAATATTAAGATATTTTTTGTTGCTATCATTTTTTTATATTTTGAAGCATTTTCATGGTTCCCAGTGAAAATTTATATATAAATAGACCAATGATCGAGTACTTTCGGCATTGATCGAGAACTTTCGGCAATGATCGAGTACTTTCGGCATTGATCGAGAACTTTCGACAATGATCGGTACTTTCACATTGATCGAGAACTTTCGGCAATGATCGGTACTTTAATAAACAATTATCTAAAATGTTTTTTCTGAACCGCCAGATCAGGGCCGCTAATATTGCTGAGGAGCCCAAGGTAAATAGCAGGGGCATCGAACCATATGCGACGGCAATATTCTAATCAGGAACGAATGGTAGACTTATAGATATGTAAGATAAATTATGGATAGAAGAAAATTGTTTCGTAGAACACAGTGAAACAACTTTTTTAGCAGCTGACATAACAATGGATTCAATAGAGTCTTTCCTCTTCATGTCAGCTGAGAGCTTTAGCCCGAGAATGTGCAACAAATCACTTTCCAAGCGGATTGAATCTATCTATCTATCTATCTATCTATCTATCTATCTATCTATCTATCTATCTATCTATTAAGGGAAAAGACATCTAAATAACATCCATCTATCTAAATCAGTTCATTGTCTATTTAAATCAGTTCATTATCAATCTCCCAAACACTCTCTCTATATCTATCTAAATCAGTTTATTATCTATTTGAATCAGTTCATAATTTTTTTCTCTCTCTCTATTTCAGCTGTTTATATCTATCTATCTATCTATCTATCTATCTATCTATCTATCTATCTATCTATCTATCTATCTATCTATCTATCTTATTCTCTGTCTCTTTCTCTCTCTCTGTGTTTGTCTGTCTGTCTGTCTCTCTCTCTCTCTCTCTCTATATATATATATATATATATATATATATATATATATATATATTTGATAATGAATTATAGCTTAAATTAAAAACTGTTACTTGCTGGCAATTAGAGATTTGCAACATTAATTAATTAACGTTAATTGATGGAAATTGGGAAATATATTCATTAATCTTAATTTGATTCGTCTAATTGCATTATTTTATTAATGTTTTATTTTCAAATATTTAAGTTAATCTGATAGTTGAATCCTCACACATATCCACGTATTTATCTATTTACAATTCATTCTATATGCTGGTAAAGTCTCGTAAAGAGAGTTCAGTTATCGCCGATACGAAAAGTTAATTAATTAACATATTATTTTTCTTTGTGCAAAAAGTTTTCTGAATAAGTAAACACATGAATACGTTTACTCGTAGTTAAAATTTCTATAAGCTTATATTCATATGACCTGTAAGCTGTGTAAGTCAGTACTATATGATGGGTGGTTGTCTTATTGGTGACTAAACATTTCCCACACACACACACACACAAACCCGGAGGGGATTATAGGATATCTAAGATTATTTCTAAGAAATATCTAATTGTAAAAAACATTTAAATATAATGAAAGCGCGTTATTAAAAAATAACATTTTAAGTCACGCCTCAATCTGACTTTCTTCGATAATGGACGGAATGTCTTGCAAGGCATTCCAACATGGACTTACAACTACTCACATCAATTATGCCAATATAAATGAGCGAGTTGATAGGGTTTCGCACAAGCCTAAAAGCAGAGAATCATTCACTCGATTATTTGACGTGGGTTATTATGAAATTTTAGTTGGAATTCGAATCCAAACAACAAATATCCAGAAACCCCCTGAACGGTTGTATTATAACACTTGACGTGTCATTAATAAGGAGACCGAACAACGGGATTCAATAATACAAAGCTAGTATCTTGATCGTCTAAATTGACCACGAGTTGCAAATCATGATCTAGGCGATCATGGCTCAACCTAACTTTCTTTAAGCCATATACTTCAATACGTTATACGTAACCAGAACTGTAGATACTCACGGTAGGGTCACTAATTAATTTCTCTTGTCAGAGACTTTCGTGAATTTAGTAAACTTAATGAGCGATAGTCCTGGATAAATATGGAAAATGCTTAGAGTGTAGAAAGAAAGAAAGAAAGAAAGAAAGAAAGAAAGAAAGAAAGAAAGAAAGAAAGAAAACAGTGAAAGAAAAAAAAAAGAAAGAAAGAAAGAATGAAGTAAAGAAAGAAAGAAATCAGTGAAAGAAAAAAGGAAGAAAGTAAGAATGAAGTAAAGAAAGAAAGAAAGAAAGCAGTGAAAGAAAAAGGAATAAAGAATGAAGTAAAGAAAGAAAGAAAGAAAGAAAGCAGTGAAAAAAAAGAAAGAAAGAATGATGTAAAGAAAGAAAGAAAGCAGTTAACGAAAAAAGGAAGAAAGAAAGAATGAAGTAAAGAAAGAAAGAAAGAAAGCAGTGAAAGAAAAAAGGAAGAAAGAAAGAATGAAGTAAAGCAAGAAAGAAAGACTTCTTACTTAAGAAAGAAAGAAAGACTTCCTACTTATGCTTGTCTTTTATGGTCACGTGGTCTACTTAATTCAATAACGGGATCGCCTGTGTTTGTTCACATAGTTTTCATTATGCTTTTATTTAGAGAGTTTTCAATATGTTTTGAAAGAAACAATGATCTAAGGGTATTAAGAGCTGACGCGAGGATATGTCCATACAAATAGAATTTTGTGTATATAAACTCAAACAAGTAGAAACTATAAACATATAGATATTCCAGTGGCCAGTGATTCTCTCTATATAGCGACGTACCGTTGGTGACGGACAAAATAATAAAGGCCTTGACCAAAGACAAATTTAATAGGAGTAGATAGGTTTGCCTATCGCCCAGTTTACGCTCCTCTCCGGTTTATTGAACAGGAGTAGATGTTTATCCCTTGTTTCCTGTTTAGGATTGGGGTTCCGGTTTCATCTACAGTATTTTCATTAGCTTTTACTTCCAGTTGCCCATTGCGTCTTAGTGGCATTATCGCCTTGCTTGGAGTGAATTGATTAAAAAAAACTATTATGTTTAGAACATATCTGAAACTGTCACAAGAGGATTTTCATATGAAGACAACACAGCTGTAATGGTTAGCTACGACAGTTTGTTAACCATTTGTACACGGCGACGCTAGACATTATTGTCACAATATGAAGTTAATAGAATGGGACCGTCTATTCATCGTTATGGCAACATTGTTACTGTATAGGCAATCGTTTCTGTTTTTTTGGGGTTTTTATTGCAAAGTTCTCTCGCCTCTTTTATGTAACGTCAGATAATAATTCTCCTGGGTATTCGCTGTTGCAAAATGTGTCTATTTATTTTCTTCATGATGCCATTTATTTCTACTTTATCTTGCGAAGAACTGGCTGCTCTTTAGCCTCCAGATCATTGCACATCTGGTATCCCAGACCCCTTTCTCCGTTCTCCATATTTATTGTTTTTAGTTCTTATCTTTCTTTTTTTTCTCCCTTCATTTTAAAGTTTTCTTCTTTTTTTATTTTTCTCTGTTACTTTTTTCACAGCTAGCTCCTTCCTCTCCAAGGAATACTCGAGGACCAGCTGCCTTCTTTGTTTCAAGTCAAAGGAAAAATTGCACGTGAGAATAGCCGTGAAAACAAATGAGTACAAATATCCGTTATATATATATATATATATATATATATATCAACGTAAAAACTAATCTAAAGAAGAATGAATACAATGCAAATGACACTTTTAATAAAATCAGCAAGAAAACATCGGAGAAAGCTGAAGTAACAGGGGTATTTAATCTCTCTTGATATTTAGTTAAAACTGATACACTAGAAATTGTTAGCCTCTTCATTAATCCTCACTTAACGACCGGTTATCGGTTCAACTGGTCACTAAACACACTGATCGCTAAGCGAGCCGTATTCCCTGACCCTCTCTTGATATTTACTTAAAACTGAGACATTAGAACTTGTTAGCCTCTTCAAGTCATTAGGTAATCCTCACTTAACGACTGGCTATCGGTCAAACTGGTCACTAAAAAAACTGGTTGCTAAGCGAGGCGTAGTCCCTAACCTTCTCTTGATATTTACTTAAAATTGAGAAATTAGAACATCTTAGCCTCTTTAAGTCATTAGTTAATCCACACTTAACGACCGGCTATCAGTACAACTGGTCACTAAACAAACCGTTCACTATGCGATGCGTTGTCGCTGACCCGTCTTGAATGCTTTGTACATGTAAAAAAAAAACATAAATAAATGTCTTTAGATTTATCAAGAAAATTACCAGACTTGCAAAATAAATAAATAAATAAGTAATAATTTCGAAACAGTTTGTCGAAATTTATTTTATTTTATTTCATGAAATTTTATATCTATCCGGGAAATTTAAGAGGTCAGGTTATTAATAACCACCTTTCCGTTGCCACATTTTTTTCTCCATCTGTGATGAGATTGTCCAGCATTCACTTCCATATAACGTGACCGATATTACATCACAGTTTAACATAATTTTTTTCATGGCTTCTAATAAATATTTCCTGCTACTTAATACCTTGCTTAGCATCTGGAAGGCATCTTTCGCCATTCCAGTACGCCACGTAGAAAATATAATTATAATAAAATATCGACGAGAATAATATCTCCGACGATATTTACGGACACTACTAATACTACTGCTACTAATAAATGCCTTTATGTCATATCAGGTAGTGTTCCCCTGTTAATTAGTGTTTTAACGTGTACAGAATGACCTTAAAGCTTCCTTACAATTTAAAAAATATATTACAGAGGCAATTGATGAGAGATCTTAATCAGATTTGTTCTATGTACTCAGTATTTATCAAAGTTTTTAATCACATTGGATTTGTGTATTTCAGGTATCCTGTTGATAAAGGCGGTACTGTTAAATGAATCCCTAAAAATGTCTCATGTTTCATTGAAATAAAATCAGATACGTAGACACAACGAAACTATAGAACGACCGTCATGTCCGTCAGTCTGTGCATTGCACAAGTAGTTTATGGAAACAGGGACATTGTTGTGGGAGTTGTGGACGACCCAGAACAGCTGAGGAAAACATCGATCGTGTAAATTGAGAACGGTCTTCATGTGTTTCGGGAAACTAATGGTGCTCATATAGAGTTGTATTAAATTAATAAAAAAAAATTACTAAAAAAAGTCAATATCTGCTCATCATTTTGTAACAATTTCTACATATTTGTTTATTTGCTTTTGTAATTGTTTTCAACTTGTAAAATGACTTTATGGACACCATGTATATCTTTTATCTTGTTGAATTAAGATGGCTTGAGTAAATTATGGTGGATTTTTATGAGGTTAAGTTATGATAAGGTCGATATATGTAAGGCGTCTTGTGCAATGTTTGAATGAAAACCAGCAGAGCCTTTATTTATATGAGACAATATATAGCCAAAAGGATAGAGTGATAAGTTTCAAGTGTTCCATGATTAAATTATTTTAAAACACGCGTGAATGCGCTCTTTTACGATTTGGAGAATTTTATAGCTTTCACATTTCTACCAATTCCGAATCGGTTCCCTTATGTTGAAACGCATGTTTGTTTGTTTTTTTTTAAAATCCCATAACTCCGACGGATAAACTTTAAAATTCTAAAAACTAGAGTAGGGCGCCTTCGCCCGTGTT